AAGTTTCTAATCCTATGGCCCCTTTCCAGGCCAACTTGAACCCTGCTGGCCCTTGCTCTCGGGTAAAAACTCCTTAATTCTCTCTCTTTTTTTTTTTATTATATAGTTTAAATTGTAAAACTACAGACATGACATATGTATGTATGTATATATACAATGGGTTAATATTTCTTCGCCTTACTTTCAAAAAATTAGAAGGTAAAAGGACAAAAAATAGCATAATTTATACTTTAAAAATATGATATTTTAATTTTTTTTAATAAGTGTTTATTAAAATAACGTAATTTTGAAATAATATTTCTCTTAATTTTCAAGAAATAAAGCGGATAAACAGTATTTTTTATCATATAAATTTAGTTTCTCTTTAAAAATTAAATATTATTTTATGAAAATTCTTGTCGTCGCATTATTTTTAACGTTAAATAGCTTGCCAAATATGGTACTAATTAAAGGCAACCGAATATATGCCGGTACAGTCGTGCAGCTCTATATTTATAGTCATCTTCTCATAGTAATATTGTAGATATTTACCATATATAATAAATTTTCACTCTATATGGTATCGTTTTTATTTTTAGTTTTTGATTTTTTTTATATTTATATTTACTAAATAATATTGTAAAAAAATTGTTTGTTAAATTTAAAATAATCAAAACCAAAAATTAGAAGCAACAACAGTACTAATCGAAACTTTATTATATATAATTATGCTTCCTTAGGTCCTAGCTTTTTTATTATTTTTTTAAATTTTAATTACAAAACTCATGAAATAAATAAATGAATTAGCCGATTAGGTACTGATAAAAAAATATCCAATTTAGAATATATCAGTCTCCATTTAGAAAATTAGTTAGTTATCTATTATTCTTTTTTAATACATTAAAGCAAAAAAATCTTAATATCCATCCTTAGATACAATAATTATTTTCATCCATTTTCTTTTAAAAAAGAAACTGATAAGAATAAGCTTATAATTAATAAACTAGGGCATGAATCAGTACAATGGCACTGGAAACCAAAGAGCCGAAAATGGAGGAAACATTCCCCCCAACATGAATTCTGCGGCTGCTGGTTTTGGTGGATTTGCCGGCCCTGTTCTGGGAGTTCCAGCATACAATCATGTCCCTCCTCGGCAGCCATCTCCTGAGCCACCGTCAGCAGCCCAAACCGGCTACATCCTACTTGATGTCCCTGCTAGAAGAGCACGCTACGGCCGGAGAGGACGCCAACATCCTCAAACCTACAAATACAATAACCCATACCGCAGATGCACCAACTACAATTGTGACACTGATGATACTCCCATGTGGCGCAGAGGTCCGCTAGGTCCTAAGGTATTATTTTCATTTCAACTTTCCTAGTACAGTTATTCATTTATATATATATATATATATAGAAAGTAATTAAGTATTAGCTTGTAATGTAAAAAATTAGGTATAAAAATACTCAAAAACTGTATTATCTTAATAAAATTTAATTGAAAAAAACTAACATATCTTAAATTTTAAATCAAGAATAAAATTATTTTAATTATTTTTTATAGTATTTTATTAAAATAATATAATTATAGAGTATTTTTTTAACTTAATTTTTAACGGTACTTATTAATA